GTGGTTGAAACTGTACTTCCTAGCCAGATAAGCGAAGCAAGTAACCTCTGTTAAATCTCTCCCCCTTTATTGGTGATTGGTGCTGGTTGTTGTTGTTGCTGTTGCAGTTGGTTGGTTTGGCATCTTCATCACCTACCTCCGTCTTCCTTATGTGTTCCCCTGGAGTCCTGTCTTCGCTGGTTGTTTCTTCATCCAGTTGGTTGTTTTTTTTTCGCCTGCAAGTCTTCGAGTTTGTGTGTGACATTAGGCATACAATTATGAATATGTGTGTGAATTTGTAGAGGGATATGATTAGTTTCAAGTTGAAATTCCATCTGTGAAAGAAGAATCACTGAGAACTAGGGGGGGGGCACTGAACGATTGTTTCCACCTGGTGTGTGGGACCCTTTCAGTAGTGCGCTTGCATGATTTCACTGGACCTTTAGGCTTGAGTTTCTGCGTCGTTGGACTTCTTCTACTCAATCGTTGAGTGGTCTTGGGTGTAGGGGTTTTAGGGTTCATTCCCTGGTAGGACTCCTTTGTGGAGACTGCTGTGTAGAGTTCGAGACTAGGCTGTGAAACAGTTATTCAGTAGTACTCCATTGTGTTTTTAGTTCTTCTGTAACTCATTTTGACTCAATGATGATGACGACATCCACATTTGTAAAAATGGAGAAACTAACTCAATAGAGTATTTTAGCATTCCTATGGTACTATGACACTACTCAGTTACCCAGAATGAAGCAGACTATTGGGAAAGACTGTTTAACTATGTATATATACTACTGATTGCTGCTGATGAGTAGTTGTCTATACCACTCTCATCTGCCTGTCTGTTTTCGACATAGAACTTTGCACATATGTGCGGCAGTTCAAGTCGCCACACTCCATGTAGCACACAAAGGAAGAGAAGAAAGTAGGAGAAATGTATAATATAGACAGTAAACAGAGGTGTGAGACAAAAGTATAGTAATAACAAAGAGAAAAACAGTTTAATTGGAAATCATAAGTCACAAGGAGTGGATGCATCTGCACCACTGAGAACGATTTTGAGCTATGTCACCAATTGTTTCCAGTCATTGGTTTTTACTGTCCCGAGGACCCCAACCGGGAAGCCGGTCTACATCTTCCTACGTGGCTTAAACTAGCTATTGTAGATTTCATTGACTGGTGCCATGTTTTCGTTTGACCACCGCTAGCTCTTTTCCAGCCTGACCTTATATCAGCTAACATTGCCCACTGTCGAGGAAGGCGATGACTAAGCCTTGTCGATTGATTTCCCCTCCTTCACTAAGACTCGACGCCTAACCTCAATATTGCTCACCTTATTATACCACTTCACACGCAGACACCTATGATCAAAGACAGCTAGCTAGCCTTTTCATGTCTTCCATCCTCAATGGCCAGGTCTCACAGCTATAAAGGAAGACGGAGCGGACTGATGAGCAGTACACACGACCACTCTCATATCATCCACCAGTAACGCTTGGTAGCTAACCAGTCAGCCAGCCAGCCAAATCATCGAATTGATCTAAACACTCTTGGACAGCTGTTTCGCTAGTCCATCGAGTCGAGTTCATCAGTGGTGCGTACCCCGTTTAACTCAGCTCAGATAGAGCCATCCGACTCCGTTCAAACCGCTCAATTTCCTGCTAACCACTTAAACGAACTGGTTGGTAACAGCAGAAATCACATTGACAATTGACAATTTATATACAATTCGAAGAGATGAAATCTTGCCATAATGTTTTCTTTGGAAACCAAATCACAGTACGCGTGATCTGTTTAATGCCGTCATAAATGAATTCGTGTAAACGGCATATATTGTCAATTTGATTTATGCGGTTGTTTAATCTTCTGGGACACAGTAAATTAGAAGTCAAGTATTCTAGCTAAATAAGTCATTATTGTTTGATTCGACGCCTGCTGTTAGACTCCTTCAGTGTTGTACACTGCTGTGAGAAGAACTTCGAAACTAGCCTGAAGCAGTTATACAATACTTCATGGTTTTGAATGCTTCTATAACGCATACTGATACAAGCGCGTTCCTAATTTCCAAGGCTAAGAGCATTTGGTTGCCCAGAACGAAGTAGACTATTTTCAGGGAGGAGGGGGCCACGGGGGGTGTTTAGACTTGAGACAACCTAGTTAGAAACCGTCTGTTCTAATTTTTTTATTCCTTTACGTTCCCCCAGTGGAACATAGGGCTTGTTCAAGCTAGAGCTTCGAAGTTTCAGTAGCAGTAGTGTTTGTTTTTACGGGGTGGGGTTGCTGCTAGCCTCATGCCCAACCTTTCCTCTTTACCAGTCTTATTACTGGCTTAGTGAGGGTCAGGAGTGCGTCAGTTGCCGGAGATTGAACCCTTGACCACAAGCATGGCTGCCGAGCATTCTACCACTAAGCCACCGACACACCCGTGTGTTCTAATTAATAAGTCATTATTGTTTGATATTGTGATTCCTTGTTACGAAAATCAACAACCCTTATGTAATTAATATATTATATATGTATTGTTATTGTTCCCTTGGGTTCCGAGTGGAAAATCTCACTTCGTTCTCTGCAGTCGTTTTTACAACTGACTAATCACTCCATGATTGTGCACATGCTTTCATCTCATCCATGTCAAACCTTCGAAGTGACACCCAATTCTCAGCTCACTCACTTGTCATTCTCGGGTTTCACTCGTGGGGTTTTGATGTGGTTGTGTTCTCTGAGCTGGATAGTTAATTTGCGAAGCTTTCATCACCCTACTAGGTGACATCTTCAGCGCATACTTCAATTTGAAGTGAGCTTTTAGATTTCTCCACGAGTTTATTAATCATCTCTCCCAGTGACGACCTTGAACGTGATTGGTTGTTTTTGTGTGTTTTCACACCTTCTAGGCTACTTGTATTGGAACTGATTGTTTCTTTGACTTGAACTTTGACCCTTTGTGTGTGAGGTTTCTTTCTTATCGGTTGATAAATTCACTGGAATACCAGGCAGGCTTCTAAAAATTCTCTAGCATTCTTGGTGTTTTCTCCGTCTAGTATTTGAACTTTGTCCCAGCTGAATTGATGTCCATGGTTGTCTGTATGCAGCGATATGAGTGAGGGAGTGGATGTCATGTCTTTTGATGGTTAGCTTATGTTCGTGGATACGAAGACGAAGGGGGCGTCCACTTTCACCAATGTAGTGTTTTTCGCAGTTGTTACAATTTATTTTGTAGATGATGTTGGTTTTATCTTCTTTCGCTGTTGAGTTTTAATAAACTCGTGGAGAAATCTAAAAGCTCACTTCAACAAGTTGAAGTATGCGCTGAAGATGTCACCTAGTAGGGTGATGAAAGCTTCGCAAATTAACTATCCAGCTCAGAGAACACAACCATATCAAAATCATCCACCTGAGCTACAAATCTTCTCCATTGTACTCGAGGGTTTACTTGGCGGCCTGGTTGACGTGTGATATCACTCACTTAACGGCGGCCTCCTCAGGATGTGAAATTGTTGGCGAAGTTAAACAATAGCATCCCAAGGGATGCGAACGCTCCAATGACCTTGAACGCATGCTAGTCGTTGGCTAGAGATACCTGTCATTACTACAGCACAAATATGAACGCTTTTCACCAACTAAGGAGCAAATTTCACCCAGATCACGTTTTTAAGCACTGTTTGGATAATGTGTTAATAGCTCTCTAGGGTTAGGATAAGGATTAAGGTTAGGGTTACAATTAGGGATAGATTTAGATTTGGCATTATTATTTATTTTAATTTGTTTTATCATCCACATTTCGCCAGTAAGTAGTCGTCGTCGATTCTCTTACTGGAAACCATTAGTAATTCAACCGAGGACTTCTGGGGGAAGACTCCAAAACAGGATAAGAGCGATAAACGGGTCACAAAACAAGCTCACCTTAAGTCACCTCGGTGAATACACACATGTACAGAAACTGGTCTAACTTAGGCAACTGATACTCTTCTTTATAACTGGGACGTATTTTCAAAAATCATGTCAGAGAAAGATACCTTGTTTTAATGTGTGTTTTCATGCATTTTCTTGTAAATAAACGTCATTGTTTTGTGTAAAAATCACCTGATTTATGATTGGTTGGCTCAAGGTCACTCGTGCGTTCGCATCCTTTGGGTCACTGTTTTTGTTTAACTTTGTCAAATTGTTTTGCACACATGAACTCAATTTACGGAAAATACACATTTGATCATAGGGAATAATAAAAAGACAGTTGCAGCGACGAAGTCACCGTCAACTAGGCTGTACATTCGTGATAATTTATCATAAATGGGTGGGAAAGTTCCAGAATAATTTCCGATCAAGGGTCAAATTAATAAAATTACAATTAGGAATTAAAATGCCATAATAAACAGGGGAGGGGGACGGATAAAACTCAAGCAAAGTAGCATCATAAATACTGAGAAGATTGAGATGTTGTGCAATTGGGGGTTAGAAATATAGAAATAATAAAATGACAAAATAGACAGGAAGTTCGGATATGAAAATATGGTAGTGTAAATAGGGATTAAAAAGAACTTTAAAAAAATACGAATAAACATGAAGTTTGGATAAGAAAGTCAATGGGGTAGTCACTATTTGAAGGATTGCCTGTTTATGATGGCCATGGCAGGGACAAGGGTTGGACGTATTTCTTTTGGATACATAGCGTGGATTTGAGTTTTTGGATGACTAGTGCCTCGGCTATGCCCAGATGTCTTAATTTTACTCCCTTTGATAGGTTTGATCGAATCTTGTATATGATTTTGAAGGATTTTTCGAATGGCGTTGAATGTCCTGAATTGACCAGATGTTCTGTCACTGAACTATATACACACGTTTTCGTTCTCCTTTTACTAGCCAGGCTGGATAGTGTTGACGAGCGCGTTTATTTCAAGTTGGCGCATGGTAGGTACTCAATTTATATAACTGTATAGCTTGAATAGGAAGTTAGTTATTTGAAAAGAATATTCATCAAAAGATTCTAATCTTCTCTTTTTGTCTTGTTTCTTTTTTCTTGTTTTATTTGCTTGCAGATCTACCCAGAAGACGACAACCTTCCAGTAATCGTATGCACAGATAAAGTCTGTTTTCATTCAATCAATAAATATATCTCACCGCTGAATAGGAGTAGTGGTAGTAGTATGAGTATGAGTAATGCCAGTTTGATTGATTGATTGGTCGATACATCGTCTATCTACCTATCTATCTATCTATCTTTCAGTATTTCAGTATCCTTTCTTGCCATCCATAATATGATCTTTTAATGTTTACTTTTTGGGGGGGGGGGGTTGTTTTATACTATTTATTATTATTTCATACCTTCTTGTTCTTGTTTTACTGTTTTGCTGGGAGGGTCCCCCAATCCCCGGACCCCCTTGTCTTATGGTATATATACATATATACTCACCCCACCCTATCGCAGCCGTCTGTTGTATTCTCCTTTTTTATATTCTCGTGTATTATCCTTCTGATCAGTTTCTCATTGTCTTCACAGTTTCACAACGCACACACAAACACATAAATGTGCCTAAAATGGAGAATTCTCCTCTTTTCGTGTCCCTGTCTCTCGCTCTCTTTCTACTCATCCAATTTTTGTATATTTTGTCAGTTTGTTCCTGTTCTTCATTTGTAACTTTTTATGAGCACAACACTGGAAAAAAAATCTATTCAACGAAATTTATGCATAGGCCTATTATACTACTTATAAAGAAATCAGTAGTAGTAAAATAGTAATAGAAATAATGTTTGATGATGAATATTATTATTATTATTACTTGAGGCGATTTTACCCATTTCTCATCACTTTCATTATATTGTGACTGCCATCAATCCTAGTACTGTCGACCTCATGAAGAATCTCCACTATCTCTTTGTTTTTTTTCTTATTTTCATTAAATCGAGGTGATGTGTCTTAGTGAATGTGTGTATAGTGTTCATGCTGCCTTGTTACAATTCCTCTCTCTCTCTCCCTCTCCATGGTTGTAAATATAAATGAATGAATGAAGGGATCTGTGGCATTGGCGAATTCAAGTTAACGACACCATTAGTTCTCCTGTTTCTATGTATGTATGTATGACGTATATTCTTATCACGTCAAATATATATCATCAGTTATTGTAGAAGGCGTGTGTGTGTGTGTTTGTGGTTAGGCTTTTCTGTTTACTCACCTCCCCCCACCCCCGCTCAGTTAGTCAGGCAGTTAATTCGTTCCACAGTTCCATCATTTTGTGAGTAAGTAAATATACGCGGATTGGAATTATGACAAGCCCCACCTACTCCTGCTGCTCCCCTCCTCCCCATTTGTTGATAAACACTAAGATACACTTACGCACTATGTACATAAATTCACACACATACTTGTAGATTTATACATATATGATTCAAGCTTAGTGTCACCTTCTTTTTCTCCACCCCCTCTGTCACCTTGTTCCTCTCCTTTTTATATAATATGTATACTTCTCAGATAATAAACGAATGAATTATTTGTACTACCAGACAGCCAGACAGAAGAGTTCTTCGTCCCTCCCTCCCGCACCAACGCGGCGCCCCTTAGTTTTTACTGTTTTTATTTCTGCAGCTAGTACATTTTGAGTATTACTGTGTTATTCGTCTCCAGAATCGAAGAGGGGACGGCTTAGTTGGTTGGTCGGTTGGTTGCCTGGTTTTGTCACTGTGTTCTTCACGATGTCTACTCTATTCACACGAACGCACACACACACACTCACTCACATACACGCACGCACGTAGGCATATGTATTCAACTCTTTATTTTACTTAATAATGATAATGAGCAAAATAATAATCTACTGTTTGACAGTTTCTGTCTGTTTTTATATATATAACTTTACACATACACCCACACACACACATACAAACAAACAAACATAAAATGTAATTTTCGCAATATCTGTCTTCTTGATTTTTGATGTGTTGTTGGTTCCCAGGGGTTTGATTAAGGGGGGTTACAGGTTTGATCACAACCTGATTGATATAGGGGAGTACCGGACAGCTGTTTCACCCCTACTGATGTAGGACTCCTCATCAGTACGCACCCCCCCATTGGCTATGTACAGGAAGAAGATATATATGTATATATATCACGAATTGGCAGAAGTTTGAATTCATGCACTGGTTATTCGCCAGGGGGTCCCACCCAGTGGCTGGATAGTCTACAATGAGCTCGCCTTGTAAGTGGAAGGTGGTTCCCGGGTTCGAACCCTGATGGGTGTGTACTGATGAAGAGTCACAAACTAGGGGGACGAAATGGCTGTCCAGCACTCCCAGGGTTTGTTTTCTAGGGATTTGATTGGTAACGCTTCTCTAGCTGTCATGTATGTGCGTTTACTATCAAACATGTATTAGCTGTTGCTTCTAGAGCCGAAGCTTTCTATTTTTCAATCCTGAACCTACCGATGACTGATTGATTGTAGTTACTGTAGTGGGTGTATGGTGGTGATTGGATGGATTCAAACCGGCAACCTCGTAATTTATTACTGGTACATTACTGGACTGTGAGATAGTCATCGATGGAAAAAGAAAGCTGGGTGATTAAATCCCTCACCGATAAGAGAATATTAAGTTCCAATGATAGTCCTCAGTTGACGAGAATTGTTTTTACAAAATTAAATAGATAAACAACTTGATATATGCCGAGGGGGAAGGGTAGGCTTCGTTCAGTTTTCCTCACAAAATGTTCTCATGTGGCCACACATGTTGTTCATAGCCTCTGTCAGGTAAGTCCTAATCAATGCCGCCGCCTTCACACGGTTTCAGGGGTGGTGTCCCTCACAAAAGTGAAAAATCGACTGTGAACGTCTGACGCTTACAACCAACCGGACTGATGGACATGCGGGTCTATCTAGGGCAGTTGGAAAACTCTGATTCTAGACCTATTATGGTAGATACAGGCTTTAGAATCCGTAAGAAGTGAATAGCGTATGAACCTGTTTTGGTCACCGTCAACTGTGGGAATGTAGCTGCTGCTGAAGCTTCTCCATCGCCTTATGGATCGGACTACAAGTCAAAGACTCGAGGGGTGGTGGCACTTCAAGACAAACACCTGCTTCAGCCTGGGCGTCTAGATGGTACCCTAGCCCTCCCACAAACTAGCAGATTTTGTGTGGCTTCTCATTGTTTGTGTTTTTTATAATGATAATGATTGTAGAGAGAAAAAGAGAGGGAGGGATAGAGATTTAAGAACCGAATCCGGGCACTATATGGTGGTAGAGTATAATTCCACCACGGAATAATTTTCTTTGATCACTAGCTGACATCAGTTGAAGAATGATTGGAAAAAAACCACCAGGGGGTACCGATGGATGAATATCGCCATCACTTACTGACAACTCAAGTACAATCGGACGATGAGTCCCGAAATAGGACGAAATGCACATCCTGAATTCCACCTCTAGTCATCATCAACCAAAATAATTCCACGTTAATCGTAAGACATCACCAAGGTGTGTCTGTGCTACACAGTCATCATGTCGACACAGAGGTAGCCTTTCTGTCCAACATAATCAACCAACTGGGAAACGCAAAATTAACCTGAAAAAAGTGTGATAATTGATACGTATTGTAAAAGAGACGGTGTTCAGTAGCCGCCGAATGCGTGATACTTTCGCCTATGAAGCGATGCATTCGAATCCCAGTGGGAGCACCATCACTGACTGCAATACAGATACATCCACATGACGAGTCTGACAAAGGACGAAACACGCGTCTTGGATTCTACTGCTAGTCACCATTGTAACAAGTAACTTCTGAGTTAATAGTGTGCATCGAAGAAGATTGTGTATAGACATGCTTAGCACATACCTCATCGGTTAATCAATTCATTTCCTTTAGCTACAACTCTACTTCTAATATTATTGGTAATTAATGATATTTGGATTTCGATTCATCCCACTCCATGTTAGTGAAAATAGGATTAGTGAAATGTCTAAGTAATAGGGCAAATACACTAAATAGTACCAAAGAAATTGAATTAGTTGTGTTCTCTGAGCTGGTTGATTCAATTGTGAAGCTTTTGTCGTCCTTCTAGACAACCACGGCAGGAAATGGGATATATGGGGGAGGCCTTGGCACTTGATAATTACCCCGATAAATTAATCAGGAAGTTTCAGAGTTTCATCATGAATTGACATCGGTTAGAAGACCATTGGAAAACCAGTAATGGAGTACTGGATAGATGTTTCGTCAGTCTAGTTTGGGACTCTGTATCAGTACGCACCCACACTTAGGACCTTCTGGTTATAAGGTGAGCCAGCTCGTAGACCACTTAGCCACTGGGACCTGATTGAATGGCCAGTGCATGAATTCCAACTTCTGTCAATTCATAATGTGGCGCTACCGCTGGCGAATGTCATCGTTGACAAGTATTTTGTCCATCCACCCGCCCAACTTGCTGTACCGCACCGGTCACAACTTCTCCCTAGAAGTTGGAATTCATGCACTGGCCATTGGATCGGTTGGATCCAAGTGGCTCAATAGTCCACGAGCTCGCTAGCCTTGTAACGAGAAGGTCCTGGTTTCAAAATCAACCATAAAGAATTGAAAATATCAGTTGAGCCTCCGTACAAAGACGGAACCTCTGAAACATATTACCTAGGATTTTTAACATACCAGGAATGAAAGAGGCAGTCAAGCCTCACTAGCATATTTAAAAACGAATTATGTTAGTGAAAGGTTCCTGTCGAGTCGACTAAACAAAATAATTTATTTAGTTTATCTAATACCCTAAAATGATTGTGAGGTCGAATATATAGGCCAAAGTAGTAAAACTTGGTCAGTTAGATTAGCGGTGCACAAAAACTTAACAAAATCTGGATTAGTTGACCCTAATGAGATAAGAAGGTTTGGAGAATAGTTCAGCTATAGTACTTACTACACACAGTTACACACAGCCACACAATTCAATGTTACAAGATGATAGTCTTAATGTTTCATATAGTCGGGTGGAAGGAGAGGTTTATAACTGAATTTTTATTTACTTGTCGAATCAACTGAGAATACGTGCTATAAGAGTGATTCCTCATCTATCTCGGACATCTAAAGAATCTTCTACTACCCCTACGATAAGTGGGAAAAATGGAAGAGACCATTTGTAAATCAGGTTTCAAAGTGGTGAATTTACATTCCGTGCTACGATTATAAACAATAAACAGTTGTAATAAGGATAAAACTTGAGCACTGTGGTAGAGTATAACTCCATTATGGATAAGATTTTATTGTGATAACTCACACAGTGCTTGCTATATAATAATAATAATGGCTTTATTCCAAACAGTATTTGTGGTACAGGTATGGAATTTTCAGCGTTCATTACAATATTGCATCTAATTACCTCATAAATTTTATAAGGATTTAGAAATATAAAGCAACAACAACAAAAAGAAAAAGAGAAATAAAAGAAATAAAATAAAAAAAGAACAGCATTGCATTCACATATTTAAACAGTGCACCACAGGATACGATATATAAAATTAGTCTGTAATAGAATATATGAGCAGCAATATAATAGTAACAAAGAAAGGAGAACAAAAGCTAATGGGAACTATTTGTTAGAGTGCCGCAGTAAATTGATCATGTCATGCCTAACAGTTTTCTCATCACATAACAGCTGTGCCAGATAAGGTATTGTGGAGTTTTTATACTTGGTAGTCCTGGCATATAGCTTCCTATAGTTACTTCTAGTTCTACCAGATGATATGCAAGGAGAGAGCTGTGTATAGAGAGGATGCTCAGGGTCTGACAATATAGTATTCGCTAGTTTCTTACATGACATTATATGTCTATCCACTATGGTGTTAACCAGTTGGTTTAACGATATCCCACTTGCCCTACTAACAGCTTTTAGTGCCCTACGCAGCGAAGCAAAGTCTTTCTTAAGTAGTCCTGGAAAGATTAATGGGGAGCAGTAAAGAGGGATGGGTAGAATACAGGAATTGACAAACTGAGAAAGTAAAGACTGCTTTATACCAGACTGCCTAAACTTCCTAAGGTAGAACGTTAAGCGAAACATCTTTCTAGTCACTAGCAAGATGTGAGAGGACCAGGAAAGATCGGAGGAAATACTCAGTCCAAGGTACTTGACATCTGATGTAGTTTCAACCTCTATGCCGTCAATGATAGTGGGACCATGTGAGCTAGCTAGTTGTTGAAGGTCACTTTTTCGTCTGAAAGTAAAATTTACTACCTGACATTTAGACGGATTCAGCTTAAGACCGTTTGAAGAGGACCACTGACTAATTTCCGAGAGAAAGTTATTTAATATGGAACAGTCTGACTGAGAGTTGACAGGCATGGAGACAGAGAGGTCATCAGCATACTTGACAAAAGTGGCTACATCAGAATGGGGCAAGTCATGTAAGAAAAAAGAAAACAGAAAAGGAGAAAGAACGGCACCTTGAGGAACACCAGCTAAAGTAAGTGAGGTAGAGGAGGACTTTCCATTGTAGACAGTGTACTGCTTCCTATCAGAAAAGTAGGAATACAACCACTTATTTATCCAGCTCTCACTCTGTGTTGCAGCAAGCTTACTTAACAAGAGAGACCTAGGTACAGAGTCAAATGCAGATGTGTAATCAAGGAAGGCACACCGAACATATTTGGCTCCTCTATCTAAACTAGAGACTATATTATGATATAGAACTACAGCGGCATCTAGGGTACACCTACTATGTTTATAGGCAAACTGGTTGGGGTCGTTAAAAGGCTTTAAAGAGGGTTCAAGATTAAGTAAAATAAGTCTTTCCATAACTTTTAAAAAAGGTGAGGTAATAGCAATGGGTCTAAACTTGACAGTAGGTCCACTTGTTGATTTGGGCACTGGAACAACCTTGATATTTTTCCATG